GTTTTATGTAACTGGCCAGTTGACTACATCTGCCGTGACCTTTTAAAATCCAAGTCATTGCTATGGTGGAGCAACTTTATGGCTTCAACATCCTCATCAAAAACCTGTTGCCTCTAGGAGAAATACAAACTCCTCATCTTGGCATTTAAAACTCTCCACAGTCTAGCTTCTAGTTGACTTTTCTAGATTTACAATCTAGCCTGCCTGCTCCTCCCCTGAACTTGATATCTCCTTTCCTGCTTCCCATGCCTTGGCACAAGGTGTTACCTCCCTGTTTGTACCCTGATTGCCCTTCTTCCTCACCTCTGCCTCTTAGATTTTTCGATTCCTTCAAGGTCTATCTCTTTATCTAGAAGCCTTTTCTGATTGTCCTAGTTGTTAGTACAATCTCCCTCCTCAAATTATTTTATATTTACTTATTAATCAATCACTAAACATTAATTAAGTACCTCTGTGTGCCAGGCACTGTGCTAAATGCTGGGGATACAAAGAGAGGCAAAAGAGCCCCTCAAGGAGCTCACAGTCTAATGGGGGAGACATCACTTTTCTGTTTATAAGCTGTATGTAAGTTCCATGAGGGCAGGCACTGCTTTTCATCTTCTTGTTTATAGTGTTCTAGCAAGCTGCCTTCTCACATGGATAGTGCTTAATAGATGCTTGCTGTTTTGAATTGAATATGTATTTCTTTTTTCCCCCTCTTTCCTTGTCCTAAAACAATCACTGTGCACTTAATGGCTTATCTTTTTTCTTAGTACATTTATAGGCCAGAAATGAATATATACAGAGTACCTAAGCTATATATCTTTAGGAACAGTCATTTGGGGATCTGGAGTCAAACTATCTAACTTTTAATAGTTTTTTGGTTTGTATGTTCTGTTTTTGGAAAAAAGGAATAGTCCAGCTACCAGGAACTCCCAGGTAACACACCCACATTAATACTAGGCTCTCTGTAATTTTAGAGCCTTGTATATCTTGAATGGGATAATAAGTAGGTATCAAAGTGTTAGCAGTTTGTGTGATGGGATCATAATACACCTTACATATAGGTCTGTGAGCTATATTATAATCCCATATAGAATGATAAGTAAAAAAAAGTTCTGTGATATTTTTCCTTCATGGTATTCCAAATATTTAAAAACTTAGTATATAACTTTTAACTAGAAACTCAGGGAATAAAGTGGTAGAGTGAATTTGAAATTTGAGTTAACCAGAAAATCCATTTTGTTTCATCAGTTATAAAGAATTTTATTTTTATTTTTTTCTTAGCGTTAGTAAATAGAGTACTTTGAGTATGGTGCAGCCCATCTGTGTTGTCTTGCCCTTGTTTTCAGTCTGGGCATCTATTCTCTTCAGACCTGTGTACATTTGGAAAACATAGGAGATCGGGTTGAACATGTAGTTGAGCTCCGCAGGTATAAATAATATTGGGGATGGGGCAGAGTGAAAGTTTGCTTTACTAATGCAACTTGTTGCTAAGACCTAGGCATCTATACTGATTGTTCCCAAAATCTTAGGGCAGTTTTAATCTTTAATAACTTAAGGGCACTTTTGGGACATCTTGTATTTGTTTTTGATGATACCTTTAAATTTGTACCGAAATTACATTTTTTTACAAAGCCTATAGCTTCTTTTTGCCTTCTCTAAATGGACAGATTAGTCCAATTAGGGCCAATATACTTCTGAAATGGAGGTCTGAGTTATCTGGTTCTAATTGTTATCACTCTCAACAGATTTTTTTTTTTTTTTTTTTAACATAAAGGCTTCAGGCATTCTTTGCTTCTGGCCAATTCTACAAAGCTGTTACCAAAACAGCATGTGAAGTAAGAAAGAAATAAGTCATCCCAAACAAAATTGATTGCTTCCTTCTGAGAGATGGCAGATTTAGAAGTTTCCTCTGAAATAAAATTCGGATTTTAAAGGAACAAGGATTTAGGAAAAGAAATCCAAGGAATTATAGATTAATTACCATTTATTTAACGTGTACCTTTATAATAGGTGATCAGACAATTTTAAAATGTTAAATTATATTCAGAAACAAAGACAACTGCAGTAAAATCATGTTTTTGCAAAGTTCCCTTTTAATGAAATATCAGGTATAGAAAATGATAATGATTTTAAAATAATCTTTTGTTGAGTTGTGGAGTATCCTATTTAATAAAGGAAGGGTCTTTCATATTTTCTTTCAATCTCTTAAATAGAATGTTAAAAAATTATTTTAAAAATTAGAAACTTAAAAGCAAATGGCCAGTTTCTACTTAACATAGAATGAACTTTTGGTTCTAGTACATGCCACAAAAATGGTTTTGCATGAAAGTAAACTCACTAATAATTTAGCCTTCAGTAACAAGGTTATTGTTTCCAACAAATAGTGGAAAGGAGAATTAGTAGTACATATTTTTGAAAAGACATTTAAAATACTCTAAGTAGACAAAAATCCTTTTGATTCATTTCAAGTTCTATATTGAAAAGTAGAATGTAGCCACTTAATCTCAGGAGATTTCCTTTGCCTGCATTTTGATGTAGTGCCATCCCCATTTACAAACATTGATGGTAATACTTGAGTCTGAACTTGACGCCAGGAGTGTTGCCCGCATGTAGGCCTCAGAATCAACTCATTAAAAGATATGCCGCTACAGTATTTGTGTTGATCCTAGTCATTAGCAGTTTATCAGTCACATATGCCTTTTCTCGAAAAATCATTAGAAGTCATTTTTTTCATGTTTTTTAGATACTTCTAAAATCTCTTCAAATTCAACAAGACAGACAAATGTAGAAAGTCCAGATTGAGATACTAAGTAAGGTACTGTTTTTTTTAACAAAGATGTATTTTAACAATTAGCTGGATTTCATTTAACACTTCCATTTAAGAATTTCAACTTATATTCAGAAAAAGCTAAACATTTTCATGGAACAGTTTTCCTTTTAATGTGAAAAAAATAATAGTAACAGCTAGCATTTATATAGGCAATAATAATAATAATAATAATAATAACAATAACTAGCATATAAGCCAGATTAAAACTGCACTGAAAGTTTCAGAATACCCTGTTCAGTGCTTTAATTTTTTTTTTTTTTTTAGGCAGTTGGGGTTAAGTGAGTTGCCCAGGGTCACACAGCTAGTAAGTGTCAAGTGTTTGGTCTGAAGCCAGATTTGAACTCAGGTCCTCCTGACTTCAGGGCCAGTGCACTATTCACTGCGCCACCTAGCTGCCCCCTAGTGCTTTAATTTTTACAAAGCACTTGATATATGTCCATTCTATTTGATTGTCATATGAAATAAAGTTCAAAATATGCTTCTTGTATTGTTGTACAGTTGTGTCTAACTCTTCTTGATTCCATATGAGGTTTTATTAACAAAGATACTGGAGTGGTTTGCCCTTTCCTTCTCTGCTGGGTTAGGCAAAGGTTAAGTGATTTGCCCAGGGCCACACAGCTAGTGAGTGTTTGAAGCCAGATTTGAATTCAGGTCTTCCTGATTCCAGGCACAGCATTCTATCCACTGAGACACCAAGCTGCTTCCTGGCAAAATATGCTACACCAATGTAATTATGTCCCTAAATACAACTTGAACCATAGTTCTGTTAAAATGCAGATTGAATGGTGCTTATAGAAAAATACAAACTTTCCAGGAATGCTTTTTAGCCCGTTATAAAACATTATTTTAAGGAGGAAATGAGCATTTTTTTTAAAAGTGCTTACTGTGTGCCAGGCACTGTGCTAAGTGTGCTCTACAAATATCTTATTTGGTTCTCACAGTAACCCTGTGAGGTAGTTGATATTATTAGTCCCATTTTTTGGATGAGGAAACAGAGGCAGACAGAAGTTAAATGATTTGCCCAGGATCATACAGCTATTAGGTGTCTAGGGCCAGATTTGAACTCAGGTATTCCCTGACTTCAGGTCCAGTGCTTTGTACCACCCAGATTCACCCAGATTCCCAACCTAGATGGCATCTCTATTCCTCACTCTTACTGTTCCATATCCAGTAAATTGACATGTCCTGTCATTTCTACTTTCTCTCTGGACTTTGTAGTTGATGATTGGTTGATCATCCCAAGTCTCTTCCTCTGTTTAATCCATGCTCCACTCAATTGTCACATTGATCTTCCTACAGCACAGGTTGGATCATATCCCTTGCCCTCCTCCCCTAATCCTTACTTAGTAACTCCAGTGAGTCCCCAGTGGGATCAAATAGAACATCCTTTGTTTTACATTTGTCTTTCCAAGCCCTTGGTACCTTTTTTAGTCTTCTTACCCTTAGTTTCCTCCACATACTCTGTGATAACAGTGACCCTCGCCTCCTGGCTGTTCTCCCGTTTTACTTGCTGTGTTCCGTGCCAGGAGTGCTCCCCCTTCTTATCTCTACTTCCTGGCTTCTTTCAAGTATCAACTGAGTCCTGTCATCTGAAACCTTTCCTAGTCTTCTTTAATCTTGGTCCTTTCCTTCTGAAACTGCCCTCAATTTATCCTATCTTGTTTGTATGTATCTTGTTTGTACATGGTTGTTTGCATGCTGTTCCTTGTGAGTTCTTTGAGAAGAGGGATTGTCGTTTGCCTTTATTTCCACAGCAGTTAGCACAGTTCTTAGCACAGAGTAGATGCTGATTAAAGTGATAGTTGACTGAATGACTTGGTAGGCCAGAAATCTTATGCCCGTGTAATGTAATGTCTTCGTTGGTACATCGAATATTTTATCCTGTAATACTTGCTGCGATTGACCATTTATCTCTGAACTCTCCAGACTTCCTTCTTTACCATTCCCCTCCTCTGCAACAGGTACTTTCTTTTTCAGCTTCCTTTTATGTATTCTTTCCCCATTAGAATATAAACTCCTTGAGGTCAGCAACTAGCTTTCTTTTTGGTTACCCATCTTTATATTCCCAGCATTTAGCACTGTGCCTGGCGTGTAGTGAGTGCTTATTGATTTAATTTGTTGGCATACATATTTTTTTTATAAGACTATCATTATTTAGTAAACAGTAATGTACTCTTTATTTCAGAAAAACCTTGCCAGATGGACCATCTAGACCGAATTCTGTTATCTGGCATCTATAACGTACGCAAGGGAAAGACGCAGCTCCATAAGTGGGCTGAGCGCTTAGTTGTTCTCTGTGGGACTTGCCTTATTGTATCTTCAGTGAAAGACTGCCAGACTGGGAAGATGCACATTTTGCCCCTTGTTGGGGGAAAGGTGAGAATGACAGATGAGAGTTACTCTTCATTCTTTTAGGTTACTTTAGGTAAGGAAAAGACTGACCCATACTTGCTTGTGTTTTATATTCCGGAAGTGTTTTCAATATAACAATATAATTTTGGTTGTTATATTTATAAGCCCACCTTGAGAATTCTGAAATTGTGAATATCGAAGGTTCTACCTTTAATAATTTCTGGTTTTGTACATATTCTTACAGTGAAATAGTTTGCCACTCCTCAAAAGTAATGACATTCTGGGTTTGTGTTACAAATGAATGATATGAAGTCATTATTACCTATGGATTCAAGGGAATTACTTAACATGATGACCATTCCTTATGTTTTATGTTGTTATATCTTGCGATTCCCCTACTTGGTGCCTAACTGGCGTCATCATGGAGCCTGCCTCTCCCTGTGATCCTTTTGTCTTCTTGTTTTAGGTGGAAGAATTGAAACGGCGGCAACACAGCCTTGCTTTCAGCTCTGCAGGAGCACAGGCTCCGACATACCACGTCTGCTTTGAGTCCTTGGCAGAGTGCCAGCGGTGGTATCGGCAGGCCTCCAAGGTGCGGGGGCTGCACTTACTCCCCTCCGACTGTGTTCTAGCTCTCAGCTCTTCTTCTTGGGCTGTCTCCATGAATGATAAATAATGAGTGATAATACATTTTTGGGGAGAGTCTGCCCTCAAATACACAGCTTATTCAAAGGCTATTTATTATATGTTCTGTAAACATAATCCCAACATACATGTTTACACATACATATATCCATATATTTGTTGAGCATAAAAGTATAGCTATACTTTTGAAAAGATTTTCATATAAATTAACTAATTTTATCCTCATCCCACCCCTTTTAGAGTAGGTAGGTAAAGTTGTTGCTATCTCTTATTTTGATAGATAAGGAAATGAATATCAAATTACTTTCCCAAGAATATGTAGCTTAGTAAGTACTAGAGCTGGGACTAGAATCCATTTCCCCTCTATCTCAGTACTCTTTGCTCTGTACCTTTCATGACCTTGTTGAACTCTGATTTTATCCTTAGTGATGTGGCAGTGAACTGTATAATATTGTCATTCTAGATGTAAAGACCTATCTTCTTTTGGCTTGCTATGGGCACCTACCTGGCCTCTTAGTATGTTTGCTGTTTTAAATCCATAAAGACCAACAACTTTAAAAGTTTATCTAGATTCCCTTGTTAGCCTAGCCTCTTTCTGCCTAGTTGTACAGTAGCTTTGCATACTCATTTTAAAAGTTAAAACAGTTAACCTTGAATCCAAGCAGTGCAGAAGCAATAAAACTTGCAATTATTGAGTGTGGAGATATGTAATCAAAGCATAAATGACTTCCTCATGGCATTTCCTCATTTTTTCTTAACTTGTTTCTCTAGTCCATATTACATGATTGATTTAACCTTTAACCCTTCAGTTAACCCTTAAATTTCTATAGTTTAAACATTGTATTGCTTTGAATTCTCATTTCCCTAAGGCTGGCTTTTGTCGTGAGTAGTTATCCCATGCTTTGGCATATTATTAAAAGCAGCTTTATATTCATACAAACTGGATAATCTTAAAATTTGTCTTGTGGCCTGAAGTACTCACTTTCGCCTTTGGTAATTTCATTTCTTTGGATTATTTATACCTCTTTGTAAACAATACTCACCTTGATGGGGGAGAGAAGGGATGAGATGGGGAAGAAATGAAGATTAACTGATATTTCTGATAGTAACCTGATTTCTTTGCCTGATTATTATTGCACATCCTTGTAATCAGTGCTGCTCTTCATGTTTTTTCCATCCTCAGCTGTTTCATAAATGTACTAATATACTTGCTCAGTCACAACTTTCTTATTCAGGTGGTGTCGCAGAGGATGAGTACAGTTGATCTCTCATGTTATAGCCTTGAGGAGGTTCCTGAGCATCTCTTCTACAGTCAAGATATCACCTACCTCAACTTGCGACATAACTTTATGCAGTTAGAAAGACCAGGAGGCCTTGATTGTCTCTACAGGTGTGTGAGAGCTATTTTCCTTTACATTGTAGAGTTTTATATTATTGGATTAAAATTGAAAAACTACTTATATCTTAATGATCTGTGCCTGAAAGTGAATATGCTAAGTTACCATATTTACTCATATAATTTGCCTCCATTTTATATTTTTTTACACTGTTCCCTTTATTTCAGCAATGCTATCCCCAAGACAATAGGATTTCCAGAAATATAGCTACCACTTTCAGTTCAATTTGATAAACATTTCTTAAATTTTGCACATAACACACATTGTTCTTAAGAGATAATTTGTTATTCTCCCTGACTACCTGTTAGGTGAGATCTTGTCATTGGTGATGAGCAATTTAGATTTGCAGTTCCATGGAAGAGTATATTACTAAGATAAACTATTTCCAATATTTTCCTCTGGAATAAATTGCTTTTGGCATGTTTTTTTCCGTAAGATTTCAGGGTCATTGTTTCAGTTCTTAGATACATTCTACCCTTACTCTTTTCTTTCCCCAGCAGCTAATTCTTCCACCCTCCTCAATTTTAAACATTATGATCTCTGTAGTTTATATTTCCAGTTCTTCCTACTTTCCTAGTAGGCACTGGCCTGTTCCTCTCCAAATTTCAGGTACTGAGAGCATCTACATAAACCAGGTAAAGAAATTTGGGAATTGCCAGCTCCTATTTTGAAATTGTGAACTCTGTCATGGCTCACTTATTGACCCTGTTTCTCAAAACATAGGCAAATAGAAAAACTGCCTTTACTGGAGGAAACTTAGTAGTCTATAAGGAACTAGATTCCAATTTGTTCCCCAAAACTTTAATAATATAATAATTAATATGGTTTTGTTCTAACAAAAGCTATTTAAATTATGTCTTTTACTTAATATATATGGTTATTTAGGAGCATTCATATAAAAATGAGAGCAAGTACCTCTGTCTCTTAGGGGCAGGTTCTCTGGCCCATTCTTCTCAATAGCAGTAACAGGTTTGGTTGAGTTAGGACTTGTTCCTGGATAAAGATCATAGAGGCAGCCTGTGGCTCGTGCAGAATTCAGACCTCTTTCACTGAGCAGGGGGCAGAAGCACCTCTCAGGTGTCAGCAACTTCCTACCAGTATTCCAGGATGACCAGAACAGAACAAAGGAAGGAGTGTCCTCAACTGTGATCATTTTTATTTTGACCAAAATCAAGGACTTCTAGGCAGTTTGACTTTCCCAGCCAAAGATGACAGGGATTCTCACCCATTAGCCCCCCAAATTAGTCTACAGGTGGAGATGGAAACTTTCCAAGACTCTCAGAACTGCACATCTAGGTCCATACCACCTGCATTGGGACAGAAGCCAGGTGCTAGTGGCTCAGGCCTAACTCCTGCTGTGGCCCCACACTCCAATTCCCTCTTTTGCCTCCCCACTTAAACCGACAACCAGTCCCCTGGCCGTGAGCTAGACCAGCACTTCCTTCTTGCTGCACACCTGGGACACACTTACTGCTCCCATCCACTGTGCCATGAAGAACGTCTACAGTCTGAGGGACCTGTGCTGCAGTAAGACTCTCCCCATTAGGGGATGAAATGGAAATGTGGAAACAGACAGGAAAATTAAATTATGTAATAAATATGTTACAGGAAATAAAACAAAGTATTAAAAGTCACGAAGATGAAACAAGAAGTCAGAAACCTATACTGCATTGTCCAATTTCTGAAACCTCTTTGGACATAGCAGATAATCAAAGATAAAATAAAAATAAAATTTAAGAACCTACCCAGGAAACTGACAAAACTGAAAAAGTATCTAAATGTTACACAGAACAAAGTACAGATTTGGAAGACAAAAGCAAGAGACACAAACATTAGGGTCTTTTGTTTTTATATATTTTAGTATCCTCTTAGATCTCAGGTAATCTAGACACTCTATTAGAGTAATAATAGCTAATTATAGTAAGGGCTAACATTTATATAATGCTTACTATGTGCCTGACACTGTGCTGAAGACTTTCCTTAATATGATCTTATTTGATTCTCACAATTCCCTAGGATGTAGGTGCTATTGTTACCTCTTTTACTTTTGAGGAAACTGGGGCAGACTTAGGTTAAGTTACTTGCCCAGGGTCACACGGCTCAGAAGTGTTTGAGTCCAGATTTGAGCTTCATTCTTCCCAATCCAGTTTTCCCAACCCAACCTGTCTCTAGGAACTTTAGATTCCCCCCCAAAAATTGCCCATAATGCACTAGGTCAGGCAACACTTTATAGAGAATATACGAGGGCAAAGACACATCTCAACTATGACTTACTAAGGCACACAATTGTAAAAGTGCAAGGAGAAAAAAATTATTTAAGTAAAAATTTCTTTATGTACACCTGGGGTACACTTACCATTCCAGTCTACTGCTTCATGAAGAACGTCTGCAGTCTAAGGGACCTGTACTACAGTAAGATTCTCAAAAAAAAAAAAAAAAGAAAAATCACATTTTTAAAGAAATAAATTTGTTCTAAAATCAGACTTTTCAAAAGCAACAAAGGAAAAATGCCAAAGTTGACTATATAAAAAAAGTTTTTTAAATTAGGATTGGGCCCCAAAATTACATGTTATACAGATAAAACCATATTGCTTTGAAACAAAGGAATTCATGTGAAAGACAAACAAGGACCTGGTAGAATTTTTCAATAAAAATCTACAACTAAAGAATAAGTAATGGAAGAAGAAATCTGAATTGACTAGTAAATGACTAGTAAAAATAATACATTTTTAAGCTGCTAAATTTAGTTAAGATTTGATTAGAAACAGCCTGAAATTTCAGATAGAAAGCTAGCCAGATTGAGGCTTTGAGGAAATTGACATCCTGGTCCATGACCTTCTGGCTATGTGTGTGACACTGAGCAAATCACTTAACCTCAGTGCTCTAGACAATTCTCTGAGACAAGAAATTGCAGTTAAGGTGAAGACTTGCTTTGGTAGATAGTTTCCTCACCCAGAAGTTCTATTATTATGAATCACATGGGTGGATAGATCAGATTAATATAGAAAAAATAGCAGTGCTCCCCAAGTAGTATGTGTATGTAAGATCAAGCAAAAAACCAGAGGACTTCCTTATAGAAATGAACAGGATTGTGGTGAAATTTATATGGCAAAACAAACAGGCAAGAAAATCAAGAGGCACCTTGAGAAGGGGAGAAAACAACCAATGGTCTTGGAATTCCAGATTTTTTATTACAATGTCTTCTTAAATTTGTTTTGAATTATCTGGAACTGTGGGAAAAAAATAGAGAAATAGCTCAACAGAACAGAATAGCTGTATACCAAACAATGCAAATTATTCATGTTTGATAAATTTATGACAAGTAAAAGCTGGGAAAAGGATTATTATTATTATTTGACAAATGTACTTCTAAAATTGGTTAGACTTGTCTGGAAATCATTTAGACCAGGGGTGGGGAACCTGCAGCCTTGAGGCCACATGTGGCCCTCTAGGTCCTCAAGTGGGGCCCTTTGACTGAATCCAGACTTCACAGAACACATTCCCTTAGTAAAAGGATTTGTTCTGTGAAGTTTGGATTCAGTCAGAGGGCCCCACTTGGGGACCCAGAGGGCCACATGTGGCCTCAAGGCTGCAGGTTCTCCACCCCTGATACAGACTCACATGTTATTTCCCAGTGAATTTTAGCTAGATGAGACTTTAACAACAAAAGCACAACTATTAAAAAGGTGGAATAGAATAAAGTATTTATCACAGTTGTTATGAGGTGGTTTTTTTAAACATAAATTATTAGGGATAAGATACATATTTGATTACATTAAAATTAAAAATGTATATAATAAAAATGAACACATTGGGAAAAATATTTATCACAGGTGACAGGTAATCTGACATCTCAAATCTAAGGATCTGCAAAATGAGACAGACATTTTCAGATGCAGCCGGTATGAAAATTTGTTTTGCTTGGTTATATTGTTACAGAGATTTTTTTTTTAAATCCTCATGCCTATATAGGAGGTGGGAGGACAAGGGGGACTAGGGATTGGGTAGCAATAAAAAGAAAGAAGGATTATGAAGGATTCAAGAGCAAAGGACAGGCAGGACAGCGTTGAAAGCTACAAGTGAATCTTATCATATATATACATTTGCTTCTAGGATTTGACCTGTGATGTGTGTCTGATGTTTGTGACAGGCCTTCTCTGTACAGTACATTGCCTCTGGAATAGAAAATAGAAGATTTCAATCTCATGGAATAACACAGGGTTGGATAGAAAGGAATTCTGTTTCACGGGCATTCTTGGGATGGGAAAGGAGGCAGCTGGGTGGTAGAGTGGATAAAATGCTGGATTTGTAGTCAGGAAGACCCGAGTTCAAATTCTGCCTTAGATACTGACCATCTCTGTGACTCTGGGCAAGTCCCTTAATTTTAGCCTCAGTTTCCTCATCTGTAAAATGGGGATGATAATAGCACTTGCCTCCCAAGGTTGTAGTAAGGAGCAAATGAGATAATATATGTAAAGTGTTATTACAAACCTTGAAGCACTATATAAAGGCTAGTTTTTATTGTTGTGATTAGCAGCAGAGGAGGAAGAGAAAGAGGTGAAATAAGCAAACCCATTTGAGGACCAGGATCAAGGGTTGAAATTTAAAGTTACTTTCCATTGGCAGTTGATGATGTCATTCCTATTTTTCTCCTCTTCAGGTTTTCTCAGCTGAAGGGCCTGAATTTGTCCCACAACAAGCTTGGGTTATTCCCCATTTTACTTTGTGAGATCTCCACTCTAACAGAACTCAACCTTTCCTGTAATGGATTTCATGAGTTGCCTGGTCAGATTGGCAGTCTTCTGAAGTGAGTATCTGACCTTACGTAGACCCCACAGTACTGTGGAAGGACCACTGTCTTAGGAGTAAAGAGTTCTTGCCTCTACTGCTTAATACCCTATGTTGGGCAAGTCACACCTGCCCTGGAATTGAGGGCTCTCCTCTGAAAAGGGACGGAACTGGATCAGATTACTACTGAGGGCTCTTGGGATTCTAGACTTAGGGTCCTCTGATGCTGTGGGAAAGTGACCGAGCATTTGGAATGAAAACAATAGAATGTTTGTTGCAAAAATGCAAGTCAGTAGAGTGCTTTGAAAGTAGCTTTGTTTTGGTCATTTTTATGTGAACATGAGTCATTGGATCTTCTTAGAAAATAAATCATATCTGTACTAGGGGCTATCATCCAACGTCCAACACCAAGTAGCAGTTTCAGTCACCAAAGTTCTCATTGTATATAAGCTTTCTGACAGCTGTAGCCATTCATAATTTGACACTTCTACTGCTGGTTAATTTGTTAGATCTCCGAAGATACGGAAATTTCGGAGATTGTTGATTTGCTGGAATTCATTATTCCTTGTCAGCATTGTCCTCGAATTAGAGCTCATCACTTTCAGATCTACTTATTTTGAGAAATTCTTTACTAGCTGAGTTTTTTTTTTTCACCTTAAATTAATTTCACACAGTCTACAGACTCTCTGTCTTGATGGCAACTTCCTCACTACTTTACCTGAAGAACTGGGAAATTTGCAGCAGCTTTCCACTCTTGGACTCTCCTTCAACAATTTTAGCCAAATTCCTGAGGCTTGTGTGAAGCTCACTATGCTAGAGAAGCTGGCTATGGCAGGCAACCAGCTAGAAATCCTAAATCTTGGGGTTCTGAACAGGATGGAGAACATCAAACATGTAGATTTCAGGTGAGGGTATTCTTTCTGTGCGTATTCTTGGATTGATCTGTGAAAGAACTGTGTATTAGCTTTTCTCTGTTACTTCTGAGACTACTGCATTAAGGTTCAGAATAGGAATTAATTTTGTTTAAAGGTAAAGTAATGCCTCATTTATCAGGCATCATTGGGGAATGTGGTGTTCAAAAGAAGTGAATTTTCCAGATCAGTTAAACTTATCCATTAAGCATGGAATTTTTTAAAAGTTTTAATTAATTTCTTTTGTTTTTACATAATGTTATTTTCTGAAAATCTCTCGCCCTCCTCCCTTATCCATCAGGCCATCTCTTGTAACAAAGAAAGAGGGAAAAACAGTTTAGCAAAAACCAACCAACACATCAGCTGTATCTAATGATGCATTCAGTATTCCACATCCATAGTTCCCCACTTCAGCAAAGAAGGGAGTGCAGAGTCTTAAAAGGATGTATATCAGTTGTTTTTTGCGTTTACATTATTATTCATATATCATATCATTGTGTATGTTGGTTTTTCACTCTTTATCAGTTCATCTGTCTTCCCGTACTTTTCTGAATTCTTCATATTCATTGTTTTACTGTTCATTAATATGCCATTACATTCATATACCACAGTCTGTTCAGCTATTCCCCAGTCAGTGGCATCCTCTAGTTTCTAGTTCTTTGCTACCACAAAAGTATTGCTTATGAGTATTTTCCTGTATATAGGGCATTTCTTTTTATCTTTGACCAACTTGGGGGGATATGCGTAGTCTAGGGATCTTTGGGTCAAAGAATGTGGACATTTTAGTCACTGTCTAAGCACAGTTACAAATTCAAATTCATAGTTCCATCAACAGCCGTTTAGTGTCTGTTTTAATGATTTTTATGGAAATATTTCTGTAGTATGTTACATACTTCTCTGCCTATTTAAATGGAGTACAGTTAAGTAACATGGTTTTACCTTTTCTTGATGACTCAGACTTATTGTTAAAAAAAATTAGTTACTATGCATGTTCTTTTTAAAGAAGGAGAAAAAGCAAGAAATCATTTGCTGTTTTTGTCATTGGAGGCTGTCTGAATTTTGTCCATACATAAATGGTTTTCCTGTCCATTGACACCTTTGCTTTAAATATTCCATGTGCAGAGGTTCTCAGAAGTAGAATTTTTTAAAAGCCACTGTTTTACTGTACTGTACAAGGGAATATGACCACAGCCTTTACCTTGCTTAATCTGGAATGGAACATGTTCTGTTCCCCACACTTTTAAATGACAATTTCTGAACAGTCAGGATGCAAAAACAAACAAAAGTGTAACTTTGTTCTCTTTTCATGGATAAGCTTACTCTTTATTTTGCTCTTTATTTAGCCTGTATATGTGTTTCCAAGTCTGAGTTGTCTCAGATTACAAATTACTACAGGAAAAGGACTAGCTTTTTTTGGTTCTTTGTATGATGTAGTAGTAAATTAGGCATTTAAATGCTATTTGTGGATGTTAGGCATAGGAAAAGGGACATCGTCCTTTTTGGAGCTGTTAACCTTTTGGTTTCCTTAGTAGAATTTAATTCCAATGACTTGTTGACCAATGTTTAGGTTGAACAATTTGAAGAGAACAGTTATTGACAACCTGGAAGGGAACAAGCGTGTTACCCACGTGGATTTGCGGGATAACCAGCTGACTGACTTGGATCTGAGTTCCCTGGGAAACCTCCAGCAGCTGCACTGTGAACGAAATCAGCTGAGGGACCTCACGCTCAGTGGCTTCACCCTGCGGGCCCTCTGTGCCAACTCCAACAGTAAATTTGCCATTTTTCCTCCACTTGCTTGTTCTGTGTAAGCTCTGGGAAGAAAACACTTTCTAAGAAAATTGCTCCTGCCTTGCTAATTGGGTCTTGTGTTGAAGGATGCTTGAGGCTTTGTGAGAGTCATCATTCAACAAGCATTCATTAAACACTTACTCTGTGGGGCATTGTGGTAAGCCCTCAGGGTACAAAGTAAGGCAAAATATCTCTGCCCTTAGAGAGCCCACATTGTAATAGAGAGGTCAGCATGCAGACAGCTATGCACCAATCAGATGGATACTGATCAATGGGAGAAAAACTACGGGGTAAGCCTCTGGCTTTCCCATCTTGCAGAAGCTGAGATTTTAGCTGAAACTTGAAGGAAACCAAGAGGCAGTGGTCGGGAGGAAGAGAATTCCCCACCTGGCATCAGGTCATTGAAAAAGTCAGAGTGAGAAGATGGAGTGCTATGTTTGAGAATCAGCCAGAAGGCTGGGGTCCCTGCAACATAGAGGGAGTGAAGTCTTAAGAAGTTTGGGAAAGGAGGAAGGGGCCAAGTTCCTCTAACAAATGGAGGATTTTGTATTTGGTCCTGGAGGCAATAGGAAGCCATTGCAGATTGGGAGTGAAGGGTGATGTGGCCAGACCTGTGCTTTAGGAAGATCCCTTTGCAGTTCAGAGAAAAAAGGCTTGAGGGAGGGATGAAGGCCCGTACCAGAGTGAAGTGAGGGGAGAGGAGATAAATGGGGGACGCATTGTAAAGGTAGAAATGACCAGACTGACTTACCAACACACTGGGAATGAAGAATTGAGGTCTCAAGGCTGAGTGATAGGTGTTTAGAAGAGGTAAGAGGGGAACGAGAATATTGAGAACTTTGGTTTGTGAACTGTTGTTTCTATGATAGGATGTATGCAGCCCCAGAGGCAATCTTTTAAGATGGGGTCACCATGTGGGTTCATGCAGTAAGAGGCATTTTAACAAAATCCTCAAGAGGCAAAGATATTTTCAGTAGATGGTCTCAATATTGTACTAAACATCCTTGACACCATAGTCCTTGAAGAGTGAGAGCCCTAGTTTTTATGTGTCTGGACTGTTTGCTTAGCAGCATCACTTTTTTTTTAACTAGACAGAAATAGAATGAAGTTTTTAGCAGAGAAAAAAGTCAGACTTTTTGCCATGGCCTTCATTTTGAATGTTGGTTTCTTTTTTTCTGTGCAAATTAAGTTTTTAGAATCTCACTGGTTAAAGGACTTTTTTTTTAATTAGCAGAGGTGGTCCAGCAAACCAGTTTTTACCTTAAACATATCTTTGTGGGAACTTCAAACCAGAGCTCTGAATTTAGGTGGGAATAGACTTAGATTCTCTTTAAAAATAATACTTGAGAGTCATAGGCTCCTTGGGCTGTTTGGTGAAGCTTGTGGACCCCTTCTCAGAGAACTGTTTTTAAATGCATAAAATAAAATACATGTGATTGCAAAGGAAATAATAATATTGATATAAAGTTATAAAAGGGTTTAAATTTTTTTTCAGACTCTAGATTAAGAATTCCCTGCTTATTTATATAACCTGTATCAAGTTGCTTGCTGTCTTAGGGAGTAGGGAGGGAAGGAAGGAAAGGCAAAAATTTGGAACTCAAAATTTTATAAAAAAGGAATGTTAAAATTGTCTTTACATGTAGTTGGAAAAGATAATACTATTAAAATGAAAGAAGAAAAAAAGGAACCCCCTACTTAAGAGCAGAGAGCAGATATATTGTTATAGAAATGGGCCAATGCCCTTTCCTAACCTATACAAAGTTAATAGGTAACTGAAATAAGAAAAAAGGACTCTGAGGTGGGAACAGTTCCTGATCATTAATAATCTGTAAAGTTGCATTGTATTAAATAGGATCTGCATGAAATGAGCCTGGATCAAACTAAACACATGTAGCTTTGATGTCTCAAAATTTTAAAAAGGCAAAAAAACAAACCAACAAAACCCAACCCTTTACATTGCTTACTGTTAACAAATATCCTTGATAAATTAAGCATGTTGAATACCCTTGTTTATTTCCTGAAACAATTATTAGTCAAACAATTGAAGTGGGTCAAAATGCCCAGTATTTATCAGTCAAGGCAGCAAGCATTTTTTAAGTTCATACTGTGTGCCAGGCACTGTTCTAAATGCTAGAAATTGAAAGAAAGGCAAAAACCCATCCCTGTTTTCCCGGAGCTCACAGTCTGATACTTTCTCTATCAGAAAGTGGAGATGACCCACCAAGGAAGGCACTAACTAGCATTGAGTGGGATCAGGAAAATCTTGCAGAAGATGTGGTTGTAACTGAAACTTCAGGGAAGCCAGGAAACAGAGGAGAGAGAATTCAGGCATGGGGGACAGCCTCTGAAAATGCCCAGAGTCGGGAGATGGACGGTCTTGTGCGAGGAACAGCCAGGAAGCTGTCTACTGTAGTTGGTGTTTTACTATAAGAGATCGTGTAGGAATGTAAAGTTACAACTGTGAGCCTGAGGCTCTTGAGGCCAACTCATTTTATAGATAAGGAAACCAGACCCATGGAAGCTAAGGGCTTGGCCCCAAGCTCACACAGTGAGTCGACTTCATTGGTTGGATTTGACCCCATGCTCTTATTCTGTGGTCAGTGTTCTTTCCACTAATAGGATGGCTCTTAGTCAGACATATACTTTTAGAAAAACTATTTTGCCAGTTAGGTGGAGGATGGATTATAGCAGGGAGAGCCTGGAAACAACAAATGAAGAGGCTGTTTCGGAATTCTTGTTCCGTCAATTTTCAGTCATGTCTGACTCTTTGTGACCCCATTTGGGTTTTTCTTGGCCAAGGTACTCGAGTAGTTTCTCATTTCATTTTCCAGCTCATTTTACGGGTGAGGAAACTGAGGCAAACAGGGTTAAGTGACTTGCCCAGGGTCACACAGCTAGTAAGTATCTGAGACCAGGTTTGAACTCAGGAAGATGAGTCTTTCTGACTTCAGCCCCAGCACTCTGTGATGTCACCTAGCTGCCCTTTAGGGTAGTTGTGTTTGTGCTTCATTCTCGAAGACGACGGTGACATCAGGGAGTTGATGACGTGACTTGCAGTTGACTTTGATTTGAGTGAGGGAGGACTGTGCAGTCACCAGCCTCACTTTCTCCTCCAGAGCCATCTGGGTCCAGTGGCGAGATGTAGATCAGGATGACTGGAGATGGCCCCTGCTCTCCAGGGAGGTTTAGAGGGAATGGTTGTGTTTTGAACATGCTGAGTTTGAGATGTGGGGTCCCAGCATAATCAAAGCTTTTCTGAGTGGGAAGGGAGCTTGAAAGTCATGTAGGCCAACCCTCTCTGAAAGGCTTCCCTCAGTGTCTTCATTTGTGTTAGAAATATTTGGGACCCCTTTGGCAGCCCGGGGAAACCTGTGGGCTCCTTCTTCAAATTGTGTTGTTAATACATAAATAAATTACAAGATTACAAAGGAAACCAATCATATTAAAATACCGTTATTAAAATATTGCTAACAAGAAGCTCATACACCATAGATTGAGAACACCTGTCTTGGAGGCTTCCCTTCTCTGGTTTTACTGTTAATCTTCCCTTTGCTTTGCCTCAGCTTAGCTAATGATTCTGCTTCCTTTTTGATTAGGGCTGACAACAGTAAACGTTTATCCGGTGCCTAGTCTGCTTACTTCCTTAGAACTCTCTAGGTAAGTGTGTACCACGAAGAGAAAGAGATGGCTTTGTGTGTTTTTTGTTACTTAAGGGGATCATATATAAATACTTCTTGAGCTTCCTTCAGGGAATAGACATGCAAACACATAGAAATGTGTTGGTGCCCTGCTGGTGGGAGTTCTGAAAAGGAATGGTCATCGTTAGAAGGATTTCTGAGGCAAACAGGGTTAAGTGACTTGCCCAGTGTATCTGTATCAGGAAAGGACCCAAGAGTCAACAGTTCTTTAAGTCACAGATTATTATAGTTTGCTCAGAACAAAGGAGTTATTCTGAGATTAAAAAGACCTCTGTTGACAATTTTATCCTTTGCCTGTTGAGTCTGAGTTACTTGGCTTGGGGGAGGCATTTATTTGACTCAGGGGCCTAGGGTTTACTATTTTTTTGTGTGTGTGTTTGTTTCATTTTGGTTTTTAAATCCCTTCCCCTGACCCTTTCTGGTCTAGAACTTTGAAAAAGCCCTGGATTGTCTAGAGATAGTAGAAGTCAAGGATAATATAAATAACTCAAATTATCGGCTTCAGAATCAGTGTTCTGGAATGTCACACAAGTTACTGCCCTCCACTCATTTTACAAATGAACACATTGAGGCCCAGAGAGGTGACGTCACACAGGTAGTAAATAGTGGTTCAGGGATTGAAGCCAAACCTTCTCACTCTAAATCTAGTTCCCTTTCTCAGACCCCATGCTGCCTCTGTCTCCTGACCAAAAACCCAGCTTAGTCATGGAATGCAAATAAGAGGTCGCTCCTGTCTCCCCTGTAGAGAGCATTCTTAGGTTGTTGAGAGAGTATTACACTTTGGGGGTTTTGTTTGTTGTGTGTGTTTTAGAATACAGTGAGTTTATCAGGTAGATCAGGTAGGTCGTTTTCCTTACTGCTCTGAAGAGGCTCTTAAAAGTCCTTGGAGAGGCAGCTAGGTGGCCCAGTGAACAGAGCACCGTCCCTGGAGTCAGGAGGACCTGAATTCAAATTGGGCAAGTCACTTAACCCCAGTTGCCTTGTGGGGGGTCCCCCCCAAAAAAAAGTCCTTGGAGGCTGACAGATTGATCTAAGATCACATGGTGTAGAGACAGACTCAGAATCTTTAGTCTTAAGTCTGTAGGCACTTCCTCACTGAGGAGCCCTTTTGCCTCTGTTAGAGAATAAATTAACTAGTATTGTGACATCCTTGTTTTCTGTGATATAGCTTTGTGACAGTTTGACTTTAGCAGTCTGTTTCTTCCTTTCTCTAATAACAAGATGATTTTCATGTATAAACTTTCTTTTTGAGGGCAAAGATTTTCAAGTAACATCACATTGGGAATACAGGAGGCAAACTGTTAATTGTGTAAATGAGCTGGTACCTTTAAATTTTCACACATATATAATGCTTACAGACAAAATACTTCTAGGGCAGCTAGGTGGTGCAGTGGATAGAGTACCGACCTTGGATTCAGGAGGACCTGAGGTCAAATTCGACCTCAGACACATAACACTTACTAGCTGTGTGACCCTGGGCAAGTCACTTAACCCCACTGCCTAGCCAAAAAACAAAACAAAACAAAAAAAAACCAGACAAAATACTTCTATAAGGTAGATGTCCTCAGTTTGCAGTTCATTGCTCTTTCTCCTAAGAACGATTATCATTAATAGTTTGAATATTTTTTTTAGAAATTATTTGTTGCTTTTCTTTTCTACTTAAACACTTTTTAAAAAATCTGCAATTTCATTGGTATGGGTCCTCTTTCCATCAGCTCAAGTAACAGTTCCTGATTGGATGAGTGGCCATTCTGGTAATGAACAGGCTTCTTTCCAGGCTTCACTAGGCTGGGCTGTAGATGAGACACAATTTTATCACTCAGCCTGGTAAAAACAGCCAGAGTTTATGCTTTAGGGACACATTTGGAAAACCCAAGGGTCACCTTCACATCGTGATGAGGTATCTAAGTAGGACTTGAGTGGCTTTCCGTTTCTACTAGTTGTTACAAATGATGCCTTTTTAATTGTATGTTTTCCTAGGAATCAATTAGAGTATGTTCCTGACTGGGTCTGTGAATCAAAGAAGATTGAGGTGTTGGATATGAGCTACAATCTTCTAACAGAGGTCCCCATTAGGTACATGTATTTTAATATATATATTTTATACACACAAACACTTATGTTCTTGAAACACCACTAAATCATCTTTTCCAAGATTTATGGTCCTCTCCACATGTTCTTCAGGATAGTGTTTTTAAAATTAAAGCAAAATGTTGGGCTTTAACTGTATATTTGAAGCTATTTAAAACTTGCAGAAGTCTCTTTTTAGACTTACAATCCAAAGTGATTTCGTTGTAGAAAATAAGATATAGTTCAAGTCTGTCTTATGTTTGCTATTTTCATTAATTTCCTTCTCCCTGAACAGTCATGTTCTTCTGGTGATTGTTTAACAGAGCGTTAGAGGTGCTCTTTTTTGGCTAGTGTACTTTGCCCAGTTTACATTATCTGATATCATGTCCTCTTATTTTCCTGATTTTATTAAATAAGTGCTCAGGACAAATCCAGTATTGCAGACATTTCCTTTGTAAGGCTCGTCAAGAAACATTGTTAAGTTTCTTATGTGTTCCTTTGGGCTTTCTCCCCTCCTAGGATTCTGAGAAGTCTGAGTCTTAGGAAACTGATGGTGGGACACAACCATGTGCAAAGCCTTCCAGTCCTTCTGGAACACATTCCTCTTGAGGTCTTGGATCTGCAGCATAATTTACTCACCAGGCTGCCCGACACTCTCTTCTCCAAGGCCTTAAAGTAAGTACCACAAATAGGCTTTTGTGGGGGACGAAATCTTTGGATGAGTAAGCTGTATTAACCCTGCACCTATGGTGAAAGTGACCTTTGGAACTGTTAGAGATTATGAGTCTGTTTGCGTGACTCTCTGCCTTGTTTTAGAGGCTTTATTGCCAGTTGTAATATGTCACAGTGTTTTTATGAGGTGGTAGTCCACATCCTGAGTGAGCACAGGGGAGTGTGATCACAGTCAGCTCCTTGCCTGCCTTTGGGTCCTATGCTGCATTGTCATCACAGGTAATAAGTATTGTGATCTATCAAAGAAAAGGGAAAGAGGGCAGTTCTAGTGCTGTGACCCTTGACAGTACCTGCCCTCTCTAGACAAGAATAAGTCACTAGAGCTGAAGTCATTGGTGGGTTGCTGTGTAAGCTCTCAAGAGGGCAGCTGGGTGGTACAGTGGATAGAATGCTGGACCTGCATTCAGGAAAAATCATCTTCCTGAGATCAAATCTGGCCTTGGATACTTCCTAGTTATGTGACCCTGGGCAAGTCACTTAACCCTATTTACATCAATTTCCTCATCTGTGAAATGAGCTAGAGAAGGAAATGGCGAACCACTCCAGTGTCTTTGCCAAGAAAATCTCAAATGGAGTCACAAAGAGTTGGATACTACTGAAAAGTGACCCAGCAGTATGCTCTCAGAAGAGCATTTGGTCTTCCTTCCTTTTCTTTGCCTAATTTGACTAATGAGATACCCTCATTAGTCAGTTCTATTCATTATTGGTAGAGCTTTCCTATACATTGTTACATTAAAAGCTCTGACATTGTGACATGAACAGCTGGCAGAAAAGGTCTCTCCCAAAAAAGCTGTTGGTTCTTGAAATATAAATTTATGAATAGGCTCTTTGCTCTCCCCTTCTTGGAATATTACCTCCATTCTGCAGTAAAATCACAAGAGCCATCAACAACAAAAGTTTTCCTACCGGATGAAAGGATGGTGGTCTCCAGAGATTGACAAGGCCATAAGAGAGCACCTAACTCATTCTGTACCTAACACATATTCCTTTAAAGATGTATTATTCCTGTGCCTTAAAAATAAGTGGCTAGGTTTTCTTAGGAAAACGTAAGAAGTTTTAACATGAGGACATCTTTTAGTAAGTATTTGTACTAGGATTTTTTCTTCGTTTTTTTATTTATGAAACCTTTATTTTGTGCAATATGTGATTGAGTGTTTAAAAAATGAATGAAATAATGGTGCTTGACTTCAAAATACCCATTCTCACAAAGACAACATGCATAAATAACTATATGGTGGTTCAGAATGTGTCTTAAGAGAAGTGTAGGTAACATGCTATAGGAGTCCAGAAGAAGGAGAGGTTACTCGTGGCTGAGAGAATGAGGGAAGCTGGTGGCTGCAATTGGCCTTAAAGGCTGCATAGGGCGTGTTTTTAACAGAAATTGGTGGGTGGGTGAGGATGTTTTCAGTTCAGGAAAGAGGTACCAAAAATGTTTCAGAAATGAGAAAGCACAGGGTGTGTCTGAGAAATAGCAAGCAGTCAGATGGGGATAAAGGGAAGTAGTCAGAGCAAAGGCCTTTGAATACTGTTGGTGGGAGCGAGATTGCCAAAGGAGAAAGCACAGGCATCAAGGAGAAGAGGAATAAGAATGGAACCTTGACAAAGAAAAGGAAGGAAGACAAATGCTCTTTGGAGAGCATGTTGTTGGGTCGTTTTTCAGTTGTATCCAACTCCTTGTGACTCCATTTGGGGTATTTTTGGCAAAGACACTGGAGTGGTTTGCCATTTCCTTCTCCGGCTCATTTTACTGATGAGGAAACTGACATAAATATAGTTAAGTGACTTGCCCAGGGTCACACAACTAGGAAGTGCCTGAGGCCAGATTTGAACTCGGGAAGATGAGTTTTCCTGAATCCAGGCCTGGCACTCTATCCAGTGTCCCACCCAGCTGCCTTCCGAGAGCATGAAGTAATTTCTGAAACTCCCATTTTTAAGGCAGTAGATGCTCTCAGTGAAAATGGCTATGTATGTATATTCTCCTTGATAATTTTTTACTCCTCTGTTAGTCTCAGGTACCTGAACGCCTCTGCAAACAATTTAGAGTCTCTGCCTTCTGCTTGCACTGGGGAAGAAAGTCTGAGCATGCTGCAACTCCTCTATCTGACCAGTAATCAGCTGACAGACCAATGTATCCCTGTCCTAGTAGGACACCCGCACCTCCGAATCCTGCATCTTGCAGATAACCAGCTGCAGACTTTCCCAGCAAGGTGAATACATGCATGCTGCCTCGGGTCTGTAGAGGCAAGATGAATATTATATATGACAGTCGTTGACCTTTTGAGTTCTCCAGCTGGGTGGCAAAAGTAAACTCTTCTAATGCCTAACTCAAGGAGGGTGTTTTGTATTGTCATAGATTTAAAGGTTAATAACAATGGGATAGAAACATCAATATCTAGGGAGAAATTTCATGATGTTTGTTAAATTCCTGGGTACCCCATTCCTTTAGTTCTCAGGATTCTGAGAACAGTGGACTTTTAAAGGCTCATTTATAAGATGAATTAAAGTTCTTTTAATTTAAATTAATTTAACAAATTAAAGAGTTTTTTTCCCCTCATCACTGTTTCACAAAACACTCTGTATTTATTCATTGTACTTTCATTGACAATAGGACAAGGAATTGTTTAACCTCTTTGAAGATTTTCTTCTATTTTTCTGGTCTTTTGACTTTTAAAAAACATTTCTTGTTGTCTCCTGGCAATTATTTGCTTCTATTTTGTCCGTTCTACTTGGGAACTGTTATTCTGTTTGGGAACTAGTAGTTACCAAATCTGAAAGAGTTCTTTAGTGTATTTTGAATAAAAGATTGCTCAGGACTCTGATATACTCAGTGTAATGGTGTAAGAAATTAATTCTGTCACACTTGTTAAGGAAAACATAAATGCTTTCCAGAAAGTAGGGAAAGAATTATTGATAGAAGAAAGGAGATGCCTAGTAAATGCCAGTGAGGCAAAAGTTTTCTGATGCTTCTAAAATGACTTAAGAGACGTATTATTTTTTAATGTAGATTTAAACTGTCAGTGAATAAGTGCTGACATTAAAAGAAAAAAGTCATGGAAAGAGGTTGACCTTGAGCTTATAGAATCTGAGTCCAAATTCCAACTTTGCCATTTACAATCTGTTTGACATTGGACAAGATCTCTGGACCTCAGTTCTTCATCTATAAAATGAGGAGGTCGGTTAGATGCCCTCTCAGCGTATGATCTTTTCAAAATGTTTAAAAATTTGATAAAAGAAAATTTAGGAATTTTTACATGATCAGTCAGTGAAGATTAAGCTCCTGCTACATTTAAGGAACTGCATTTAATGGGCTTTGGGGATGCTGAGACAATCAAACAATCCCTGCCCTCAGTGCTTATCAGGGCAAACACCCTCTACTTAGGTAAATAAGCTCAGGGTCAGGAAGGGCGTACTGGCAGTTGTAGGGAACCAGGAAAGGTGACGTGGGAGAGAAGCTAAGGATGCTGGGAAGTAGAGATGAGAAGTATGTATATTCCAGGTGAAGAGGACAGCCTATGCAAAATCAGGTGTGTCAGTAGCAAATAGAATGCCATGTATGAGAGCCAGCAGGCTGGTTTGATGGGAAGGCTGGAGCCAGACTGTGAAGGGCCTTAAATGCCAGACAGAGAAGTTTCTATTTATGTTAGAGGCAATAATTGAACAGGAGGTTGACACGATCAGGTGTAGGCTTTAGAAACTTCACTTTAGCAAATATGTGGAGGATGAATAAGAGGGAGTCGGGGAGACCAAGTAGGAGGCAACTGCAGTAATTGAGGTCAGAGAGGTGAAGGGCATGTGAGTGTAGAGATGGCGATGCACAAAAATTTTATTGTATTGTTTCATCTTCAGCAAATTAAACAAGTTGGAGCAACTGGAGGAGCTGAACCTGAGTGGCAACAAACTAAAGACAATTCCTACAACCATTGCAAACTGTAAACAGCTGCATACTCTTGTTGCACACTCCAACAACATCAGCATATTTCCAGAGATCCTGCATTTGCCTCATATCCAGGTATCTCCATGGGAGTGAGGGATAACCTTTGGAAGTAAAGGTTACTGACCTTGATGGGCTCCCCAGGTGTGCATGTGGGGTGGTTTTTTCCTTCTATTTGGAAAAGGGCCCTAGAAGGATAGAGTGGGATTTTTGGTTAGAGAAGTGATTATTTAATACCCTTGGCATTACAGAGTAGGGGGTCATGAGTATTTGGGAATGAAGACTTTGCTTTTCCTGATGTGGTCTCTTTTTGTGCTTTTCTGTCCCTGTCAGTTTGTAGATTTAAGCTGTAATGACTTGACAGAAATTCTGATTCCTGAGGCTTTGCCTCCTACCCTACAGGACCTTGACCTAACTGGAAATACAAATTTGGTTCTGGAACATAAGACGCTGGAAATCTTCAGGTAACATATATAAAGATTCTGAAGTTGAAATCACACGTGACCTTAATCCTGCCAATTTCAAGCTCTTTAAAGGCCTTTAATAGACCTTGTTCCACTAGAGGCTGTGTGTGAAGTAGGAATGATGCCCTTCTTATTACGTTCCTTGATTCACTCACTGACAGAGGCTTAATGCCAGTGACCAGACCATTCCACTGGACCAAAACATCATGGCCACCACAACATCACCATCTGACTCTTCTATGACACTCATGGGTATTTTCATACTCATCAGGTCTTCATACCAGAGTTAGATCTATAATGAACAATTGACATCATTTGACTCACCCTCTTAATTTTACAGATGAGGAAAAGTTGAGTGACTTTCCCAGAGTCACACAGGCTATGAAAAAGGAAGCTTGGTACAGACCTGGGGCCTCTGCATCCACGGCCATCCACGCTCTCTTCTCTGCTTGATCAGGGACCCTAGCTTGGCTAGAAAGAGTGTGTGTGCCTGATGTCTTACAAGTACAATCAGAAGAACTTTAAAATGAAAAAGATAAGGAAGAGAGAAAATTACCCACATATATTCCCAAGCTAGATACCAATAAAGGAAGAATAGCTATTGGGATACCCAGGAGCTCATAGAAGATAAAATCCAAGAAAGAAGCCAGTGTTTCCACATAAATGCACAACCTCAGGGTACAGATGTAATGAGCCAGATTGTCAAGGTGTGAGGTGCATGATTCTAGACCAGTGGTCTGAAGCTCAGGGAGAAAAAGTCCATACGTAAGGATCCCTGTGTGCCACACATTGAATTAGAAAACCACATGAGTAACATTATCTGTGATCTATTGTATTTTTATTGATTTTGTTAAATAGTTCCTAATTGGACTGTACTTGAGTGAAGTCAAGTATTTGGCACCTCTGCTCCTAGACTGTTTCTTTGAATGAGTATACATTATTTTGAAAGAAGTTAGATTATTTTAAAAGGTGGGGAGAGGAAGGGATATTGTATTTTTTAAGAAGATATATTCATGTAAAGAAGTCAAGGAACTTGAAGGGGAACTATGGTTGAAGATATTTGGATATGGACTATGCTGCATACTAATTAGACCAGAAATGGGAAACAGATCACAAGCCTGGCACCGGAATTATGATATAGTAGTGATGGGGAACTTCGGTTATCAAGTCATCTGCTGGCATGCACTCTCTGCCAAGAGGAGAGTAGCTAATAACATTCTGGCCTGCCTTAGTGAGAATTTCATCTTTCAAAAGGAAGAGAAACCGAGAGGAAATTCAGGGAGAAGGAGGTTTCTGGCATGGAAATGATGGGAACTTTGGGAGGAAGTGACCATTCCTTCTTCCAGTTTGGTATAGGAAAGGAAAGGAAGCTTTCTCTATCCTAACATGTTACCCTCTAGGTTTTGGAAAAGCAGGTTTTGAAGGTGGTTAAGAGAGAGAGAATCTCACATACTAAAACTCTACAGCAGAATTCAGGCTAAGAGGGATGGGAAACATGAACAAAATGCTAAAAATATGAAAAAGGATACAATTCTAAGAAGGAAGAAACAAGGGGGAGTTGCCTGAAGAAACTGATGTGAGTGCACATGGAACCTGCCAAGGAATTAAGATTTTTTTTTTAAGCTAGGTACAGAATATCTAAAGCAAGCACAGAGGATAAACACAAGTGGAGAAACACAGTCCTTTACAAATGCTATCAGGAATGCTGGAGCTCGAATGAGCTGAAGCTGGAGAGGAAAGCTATAGACCATAAAAAAAGGCTTTTGAAGTGGTATTAGGGAGAATCTTTTGCAAAGGCCTGTGCAAATGCCTCATTATAGCGTGGAGATATGACCCTAGTTTCTCCAAAGCTCTACCAACAGAGTACAAGCTCTGTCAGGCTCTACCCAGGTGGAAGGCTTTTGAATATTACCCTGGCAACAGACTTGAGTCTGCTTTGTGAGGACCAGGCTACGTATTTACAGAAAAGCTCGTCACCTGTTGGCTGGGCTTTTGATGACTCATTTTTTTAGCGACAGCAACCTGTGAAACAAAAAAATACAGAACAGCCCTCAGTCCTGTACAGCCTCCTTCTGTTTGTGCAGAATGGCGGCAGAGTGAAGAAGAGGGTAGCAAAGGGTGCCAAGAATAGCACAATTTTAGACAGTCTGTAAACTTTTATGTGAATGTTGTTACTTCAAATGTAAGATCTTTGTCCAGTTAGCAACAAGTAGGCCTGTTGCTGGAGGAACTCAGCCAGATCTATCTTGACAGTTCCAGTATAAATGAAACCAGAAGAATGAAACTTTGGAGAGGTGATGAAGTTGGCAGAATTGGTTTTATAATTGGCCAAAGGCAACAAGAAATGTTACTTTGTGGGATAATTTGGTCGTCTCATATTTTAGTACTGATAAATATATGCAAAAAAGGCCACCATGAAAATAATTTTAACTTATGCACCAGCATCACTTGCTGAGAACAAAGATAAAGAAAAATCCTGTGAAGAATTTGACAAGACCCTCAAAGTTAAATCATTCATCTGTGATTTCATTGCAAAGATGGGGAGAGGTGAGAAATACACGTGAAAGCGTGGTTGAGGAAGAAGGGACTTAAAGAGACCAAAAACATGAAGACTGCACAGAAGCATCATGCTTTTATATATCATAAACACCGTCAAGAAAAGAATTTGTGGGTAATGGATAGAGCGAACCTCAAATAACATCACAAAAAATGAAATCAATAATATAACAATAGCCAAGAAAAACGTGTTATTATGTGGGAATTATCCCTGTGTAGCATATGCTTTGAAATGGCCTTTCCCCTTACAAAGGCTCTCTAACCGTTCAAGTGATCCCATTCTATCCAGTTTCCTCCAACATACTGCCTCTTTCATTTATTTTCAGTCTCTTCCTCTTTACTGGCTCATTTGCTGCTTCTTACAAACATGCCCATGTGTCTCCCCCATTTTGAAAAAAAAAAGCCCTCACTTGATCCTTCTCCCTGTGTTAAATTTCATCCTATATCTCTTCTGACTTTTCCAACTAAAGTCTTTGAAAAGGTGTCTACAATAGGTGCCTCCACTTTCTCCCTTCTCATTTTCTTACAGTCTGGCTTCTGACCTTATCATTCTACTGAAACTGCTCTCTGCAAAGATAATAATGGTCTCTTAGTTGCCAAATCCAGTAACCTTTGCTTAGTCCTCATTTTCCTTGACTTCTCTGCAGCCTTTGACACTGTTGATCACTCTTTTTTTAAGAATGTTTTTATTTAATTTTTCTCAATTACTGTTAAAAACAACTTTTAAACATTCATTTTTTAATAATTTTTGAGTTCCCAATTCCCTCTCCTCCTCCTTGAGAAGGCAAGCACTTTAATGTAGATTATAAGTTATGCAAAACATATTTCCGTATTAGCCATGTTGCAAAAGAGAACACAGACCCAAAAAAAGAAAATTAAAAAGGTATGCTTTAATCTGCATATAGACTCTTATAAGTTCTTTCTGTGGAGATGGATAGCATTTTTCATCATAAGGCCGTCAGAATTGTCTTGAATCATTGTATTTCTGAGAATAGCTAAGTTATTCACAGTTGATCATCATACATTGTGTACAATAATTTCCTGGCTTTGTTAACTTTACTTTGCTTCAGTTCATATAAGTCTTTCCAGGTTTTTCTGAAAGCATCCCACTCATCATTTCTTAGAGCACAATAGTATTCTATCACAATCACATACCACAACTTGTTCAGCCATTTCCCAATTGATGAGCATGCCCTTAATTTCCATTTGTTTCCCACCACAAAAAGAGCTGCTATAAATATTTTTGTACATATAAGTCCTTTTTCTTTTTCTTGGATCTCTTTGGGATACAGACCAAGTAGTGGTATTACTGGGTCAAAGGGTATGCATGGTTTTATAGCTCTGTGGGCATAGTTCCAAATTTTGCTCTCCAGAATGGTTAGATCAATTCACAACTCCACCAACAGTACATCAATGTCCCAATTTTCCCACATTTCCTCCAGCATTTGTCATTTTCCTTTTGTGACGTATTAGTCAATCTGGTAAGTGTGAGATGTTACTTTGGAATTGTTTTAAAATTTTCATTTCTCTAATTAATAGTGATTTAGAGCATTTGTTTTGATATGGCTGTAGATAGCTTTGATTACTTTGTCTGAAAACTGCCTGTTCATGTCCTTTGACTATTTATCAATTGGGGAATGGCTCTTATTTTTATAACGTTGACTCAGTTTGCTATATATTTGAGAAATGAGGCAAAAGAAACATTTTTTAAAAAGTGGAGTGTAAGACTACTTTAAAAAAGATTTGGCAGGACATCCTACAATAAACTCATTACAACAGCATTTTAAGGATAGAAATGGAAAGATGACAACAAACCAAAGAAAATAGTCAGGGTCCCCCAAGATGACTCTAACAAATGGACCTCAGCATCAGAGAAAACAGAATCACTGCACTTGGACCCTCACGTCACTGACCGAAATGTTTTTATTAGGAAGGGTAGGAATAGCATCAAAAAGAACAGAGCTGGAGAAAGCAGAGAGATCTGTGCAGGGGCTGGCACAAAGGATTCATGTGCAAAGATAGCCAAAAGAGGATGAGATACAAAGGCTAGGAAAAGTCTTGAACCTTATTAATCCACTCTCCCATTCCCATATAAAAAAATAATCATAGAAAAATGTCAATAAATACTGACCTATCTCTCCTTACTGTACATTATCTTTTTTGAGATTAAGGGCATCCTTGATAAGGGTGTCAAAGCAGATACTCCTCATTTTCAGAAATAAATGATCCACCTAAGTGCAATATCCTCTTTTTTCATTTCCTGAAAGGATTGGAGTAGTGATCAAAGGGAGGTCTCTCTTTTCCCACTTAATGCTATTGGAAAGCCCTTGAGGAAAGTACTGTCCTAGAGGGATTAAGTAGTCTCAGGAAAATAATTATCCAAGAAGGGCCTGAGATTAAGTGCCTGTTTTATTAGATTAAGGAAAATGTTAACCCTGAACTAT